TTCTAGATCTTTAGCTGTATTTAGGTAATCAAGCAACTTTTTTTTTCTTTTATATTTCTTAGTTTCACCTTAATTAGGGAGTGTTTAACCATTTTCTTTTCTCAAATTAGTAGCAAAATATTTTTACTTCACTTCTCTCATCTTTATTTTTTTGTTATTCATCCAGCTCTAAGGAGAATGTGACAAATAAAAGCATCCAAAGGCTCAGTAATCATCATTTAGCCGTATTTAACTTTTATTAAGTTATGGTCTAGCTTCCACTTTTAAAACAAATTTTTGCTTTTATTTCTTATATTTCTACATGTCATCAGTAAAACAGAGCAAGAACCATAATGTTCAAACACATATACTCACAAGTGCATGTGTATGCATACACATGTGCACACACACAAACACACTATCAAAGACACCATTGCACTGCAGGTGAAAGCAGGAAATAAACCCTTTAAATTCATTCTGTGGGATTTTTTCCTTGCCCCTGACTGTTTTCTCAGAAAGATTTATGGCTCCTTCAATCCATTTTATATAGTATTTCCTAATCACTATTAATTACAAAAGCACTCTCATTTCATTAATTAAAGGAGTCATCCCATGTAAAATAAAAACTTTGAATTTCACTTGACTTTAAATTTCTCTTTTCTCCCAACCCAAAAACTTTTAGAAGACTGATGTGTGGAGAGGGTACACATTTAGTTTATCTTTCCTCATCTAGTTTTCCAGCCTCTTCTTTTTGTCCTCCTTCAGGAACTCATTAGTTCTGGTTTTGACTATAGTAGGGTTAAAATTAAGGTTCCCAAGAGTTTTCCTTTCCCCTCAGTAATTTAGGCTGGCTTGTGGCAAGTGCCCAGGGTTATCTTGTGCTTTTCATACATACCAAAAGAAAACTCTCCTTAGCTATTTCGGAAAAAACCAAATTATTAGTTAATGCTTCCAACTCTATTAAGAGGGTAAGGACCCATTTTAATTGCCTCATTGCAGGGCTTACCAGAGTTCTGTAGGAGAACCAAGTCACTAAACCAGGCAATCAAGTAACACTATGTCCAACTAACATGTAATTCTTATGGTACTTTAAAAACTAGATGCTGGCAGCAAACATTTCTTTGAGTTATTTTTCTCTAAATCCAGAGTCAGAAAGTCCACTCTTAAGTTCATTTTTGGAGTTCCGTCTAATGATAGCTGCAGGCCAAAAATAGACTTTTCCAAGTAGAACTGCCCTATGTTTTTAGTAGATAATACTATATTTCAGCAAAAATGTGTGTGTGTGTGTGTGTGTGTGTGTGTAGTGGATGAAAATGAACTTCAATAACTAAGAATAAGAACAGCAAGGATTAGTTTTTTTTTTTTCCTTTTTTTTTGATACCGGGGATCGATCTCGGGTCTTTGCACTTGCGCAGCAGGCGGCGAAACCACTGAGCTAAATTCCCGGCCCAAGGATTAGCTTTTTATAACAAGATTAAATATGTGATTTAAAATGATTGTCAAGAAAGCATTTAAATTTAAGCATATTTTACAGGCAAAAATTCTAGGTAAAGATGAGATTACATTTTGCTTACTGACATAAAACATTCTTTTAAATAAAGAGATTTCCCTCCCTTGGATGGCAAATATTAAAATTAAAAGCCAGAAATAGAGATTTTCCTGCCTTAAAAGTCAAAACATTACAATTAAAGGTGAAAACAATAACAAAAATATGAATTAATGAATAAACATGAATCAGTTAATAGATCACAGTGTTACATAGGATATATTCACTTCAAAACAGATACCGATAGATTTCATACATTCAAAACAGAAAATCAGGAAGCAATTATTAATTTTAGACTTATTATGATGTCCATTTTAATTGATAACTCTCACTTACTCTTTTAAAGTAGGTCAATTTTCAAAAATCATTTCTGATAAACATACACTTTAAATCCTTACCTTATGCACCTGTATCTTTAGAGTAGACAGCACTATTTTCAGTGCTAAGTGAAAATGAAATAAAGTTAAAAATAGTTTCCTTAAAAAGCTTATAATTTCACTGAGAAGGAAAAACAGATGCTCAAAGCACTAGTTAGTGCAGCACACACAACAGCGTTTCAGTCTGAAGGAGGCTGCATACATTGAGAGTGTTGGAATTGAGAGGTCACAGCCACGTATGGGCCAGGTGGAGGTAAGGCTATGGCTGCATTTTGAACAGTGTTGGATTAGCGTGTGTGGGAGGAAATGGTAAGGGGGTGGGCACAGGCAGACTGGGGAAGAGACCAGATAATAAAGCTTCAGGGGCTAGCAGAAAAGGGTCAGGACTCTTTGTGTGTCTTGACCGAGTTCCACAGCAAGTGAGAGAAGTGTGGACAACACTAGAAAGAAGACTGAGCAATGCTGATGGCAAAAGGGAACACTTGTGCTTTTGGAAAAGGCCATGCAATTGCACCTCAATATTTTGGAAATGGTTCTTTGGGACTTGGTTTCTAAGAGTCTGATTCTAGAACTAATGTAGGGGAAGTTGTCCTAGTAACTCTGCTTGTCTAGTCTAATTAATGCTAATCTTGTCCTAGAATATCAGTTAATTCATCCATAAGAAATTATTAACTAGTAACTAGTTATTATCTTTACTGAAGGGAATGAAATTTAAATGAATATAGCAAATCTATGGTTTTTATCTTTTTTGTCATTCTACATTCAACAAACAGTTGTACTACTGTGTTAATTAATCTACAGTGATAGATATGGGAGGAATACAAAAGGCAGCAAGGGAGATATTCCTCACACTCTTAAAACCTTGAAAATTCAAGGTTTCAGTAGGCTGTCGCTGCAACTAATGTTAAGGCCAATCCACCCTCCTGAGTTTTTATCGATCTGTACCTTCATTGCTCTTTCTCCTACACACATACACACACACACACACACACACACACACACATTTTCTCATCATATTTCTCATCATAAAGTTTTCTCTTTATACTGACTTTTAAAATCTGTTATCTTTAAAAATCTTATTTTATGTATTCTTGTAAGGCATCTTAAGTACTTTTTGAGCAAGACTTCAGATAAAAACAAACTTCACTCCAAATCTTTCCTGATGAACAAAATATTCTCAGCTTGTATTTTCTTACAACCTTTATCCATATGAATACATAATTTAAATATATTTATCATCAGAATGTTTGAGTAAAGGCTCTTTTACCCTCCAAGGAAGAATGGCACAAAAGGGCTATCCATGCTTCGGGAGCCCCAAGTTTAGGCTCCTCCATGGCGAGCCTGCTCCCTTCATCCTGTTTGTGAAGCAAAGTGTCTTCAGGCAGCTGGTCCAAAGGGAATGCACCTTTATTTAGCCAAGGTGGGTTGTGTGATAAGAGGGACGGGTCCTGGCCATGTGCTCTCTGACTCACCACCATAAGCACACGTGTCAGTTCTGCTCACTTGGACAAACCCCTTCAGAGGACAGAGCCTGACTGTAACTTTTCTAGGCTGCCAGGCTTCACTGCCTCAGACCAAATTATAAAAACTAACAAGCATCAGGAGCCATTAAGCTGTCCATAAATCACATGGATGGTAACATCACTATCGCTTGCTTTGGGCCTCACACACTGGCCCTTTCTCCAGTTTGGAGCTGGCACTCCTGTTTCTGTGCCGGGTATGATTCCTTCCCAGACCCCGCAGCAGTCTGCTGGCCATTAATGACATTTTAAAACATAGCTGCTTAAATGACTATTGCATTCCCTTGCATTTTCTGTTTAAAAGAGTATATGTAATCCTGTGATATATAAATTTCAGATTAGCACTGGACCAATATAATTTCTAAGATCATTCTCGAGGGATAATCAGCAACAGGAGGGGGAGAATGCAGCATAATTTTGAGCATGGATTTTAAGCATTTCTCTTCAATTAGTAGTTCTATGATCACAGACACAGAGCCTCAGTTTCCTCATCTGTGAATATTTCGTGTTCTCATCAAGGCTGTGAGTATCACCAAGGTGAGGAACATGAAAGGCACAGGGCTAGGTCTAAACAAGCAGTGCATGGTCAATAGCTGTTTGCCAGTGCCAAAGAGATTGAAAATTGCTTTATTAGAGCTGACGTTATAATGAGGAGGTTCCTTTTGCTAATAAATATCATTAATAGACATCAATCTGTGTCTTTTCCTAGTAACCGGGTTAAAATGTAACCCTGACTACAAAGAACAGTTTTTTACAGAAGCCACACTTTTTTATATGCTGCATGTGCTAAGTCTCAATCTTGACATCCCCTATTCCCAACTTCCAGGCAATCGTTGTTTGGCTCAGGGAAGTGAAAATCAGAGTACACTTGGAGCTGAATTATCAATTAATGAATACTGAACATATGGTTACAATGTACCCTCACTTAGGAATGGGATAAAAAAGCTAGAAACCAAACTGTATTTAAATCAGCTTAAGTATCTGTGATTTGGTTGACCTTCTGATGATGGAATTATAGTAATTTAATTGTTTTAAGGATTGTTTGGGGAGGCTCATTGGGAAGCTTTTGCATGGCACTACTTTGGGAACATAACATAACTTTTGAGCACTGTTGTTGGTTAATTTGAGGCATAATGTCTGCCACCTCAATTCCCAGGGTCTTACGGAGTTCATCTATGGGTGTACAGGCTCATTGTGAATGGCTAACTCTACAAATACAAGTGACTTTTTCTTTGGCAGTGTGGGGGATTGAACACAGAGCTTGTACATGCTAGGCAAGCATTCTTCCACAAAGAGAAGGAAATAGAACCTGAGCTAATAGGATTTAAAGACACAAAAAAGAAGTATAGAAACAGGGCTAGAGAGATAAACATAAAGAGAGAATTCAGTGCATATGTTGATGTCAGATTTTCCTTTCTTTCTGTGGATGGTGAAATATTTGGATAGGATACAATGATTAATATTACTTTAATTCTTTAGGTGGTCAGAATTCACACAAAATTATTTCAAAATAAATATTCTTTATATGAAAGCCAAGGTAGTTGAGACTGAGGAAAGAGAAGAGGGAACGAGTCTTACCCAGCAGGCCTTGTGTCTTCAATGGCTCTATCCACTGGAATCAAATCGCTAAGGTAGACATTGAAGTTTCCTTCTTTCCATCTTCTTTTTGCCTCCTTCTCCTTTCCAGGGGGAACAACCACAGGATGTCCAAACTGACCTGGAGCTTTGGGGTCCCTTGGAGAAAGGGTCACATCTATTCTTAACACCTGGTGCATTCCGTGGTCTTCAGGTAAAAGGACTTCTGTGTGACTTTGTTTGTGTCCTACAGGCTGGGCCTTGGCAGTTAAATTGATTCTTGCTGGCCTAAGGCCCCCATCTAGTTCATGTCTGGTTTGAGACACTATTGTTTTCTGTAAAGTGGGTGAGGGGAAAGATGCCTCACTTCTCATCCTGGAAATAGGTTTTTCTTGGCTTTTATCCAATATTTCAGGAAATATAGTTTTGATTTTAGAATTGAAAATCTCTTTGGTGTCTGTCTTTAGCTTCTCCTCCTTGGTTATAATCACAACATGGCTTTCAGAGAAATTGAGTTTCTTCTTAAGAGTTGCTTTGGCTCTGTCATCCTTTGGCAGGCCTTTCAACTGTGTCTTGTTCATAGACAGCTTCCTTAAGCCATCTGAGTCAGCAGTGAACTTGAAAAAAGGAGGAACCTTATGGACCTTGTGTTTATTTACATGCAGTTCTTTGCTCTGAGTAGCAGTTTTATTTAAGGCTATAGCTTCCCCTGAGTTTGGCACTGGTGGGCTGGCAGGGTGTGTCCTCTTATTTGCTACTGCTTGTAACTGCTGCTTTGCTTTGTCAGTTCTAAGATCGATGGTCACATTGAGATCCCTCTCAGCTGCTTGTTTTGATGTGTCACTGCTGAGATTATAAGTCTTCAGAGCCTCTTGCTTTGTACCACCCAGTCCTGTGTATCCTGATTTTTTGACCAGTGTAGTTCTTCTTGGTGCTATAAATGGGCTTTTCTGAGTTCCCTGGACTGTTGTTTGCTTTGGTGTCATCCGTAGAGAGAAGGCTTTCAGTCTGCTGTCTTTCACCTCTGTCTTGTGCTTGGTCAGAGTCCCAGGGGGAGTCTGCAGATGTGCAGGATGCCACAAAGGCAAAACTTTGTCCCTTACCAGGGTGTTCTGCATTTTTCTTTCCCTCTGGGCTTGATCCAAATCATCCCCTATCCCAAGCACACCCTCCTCAATCCTAAAGTTCTCTTTACCCCACACCCTCTTCCTATGTCCCCAAGGGGAAGGCCTCATCTGTTTGATACTACTGGAAAGGATCTTCACTTTGTCTGCCTGAAGTCTGAATCCTATCTGCTCCCTCCGCACGATGTCTTCCTTGAGGATCTGAGTGTTGATCTCACTGAATGAGAGGCGGAGAGCTGCCATGTCAAAGAGCAGCCAGATGACAGAAGCCACAAATATAAATGCCAAGACTCGCCCACTTCCTCGGAAAAACTTTCGGATCTTGTTCATGGTACAAAGGCTTCCCTTGTAGCCTGCCCTCTCTTTGAGCTTGCTTACCTGGATGGAGACAGAGCTGAAGCAGCAGCAGCAGCAATAGCAGCAGCAGCAGCAGCAGAGTTGCCAGAAAGCACCCCTTCCCCCGAACACAGCGGGAAACAGCAGTCAGTCCAAGGGGGAAGCTCAGCTCCTGCCGCCTGTCAGTCTTTGCCTGCGTGGCATTGCACAGCAGAGCATCTGTGCCTGCTCGCCTGGCCCTGGCTAAACGCTGGTAAACACCAGACCCAAGTCACACTGGGAGCAGCACATGGGACAGCTCACCATGTCACTGGCCTTGTCTCTGGGAGCCCATGTCCACCTTCCTAAGAGCCCAAGAAAAGGTGGGGGCCGGGTTGAGGCTGCAGTTTCTCTCCTCCCAGTTCACGTCTGTATGCTGTAACTCAACACCATGTCTCATAAGGAAAACATTTCAAGTCATTACCCAGAAAACTTCACTCTGCCCTCACCTTCCGTGTTATATGAGAGTGTGTGTTTTAAGGGCAATTAAACAGTGTGGCAAGCTATCTCAGTTGGAGGGCTGTGTAACTAGTTTTTAACCCCACCTACCCTGCTCTTGCCTATTAACCCTCTGGTACCCAGCTGCTCAAGTGCTCTCCCTGAGCAATCCCTGACCTTCATGTGCCGGCTTTAAGCGGTTAATCACTTAAAGTGGACATTCAGCATAGCCTCATCACCAGAGGTGGATGTCTAGTTATTCAAAATATTCCTTTGTGAGTTTATTCTTTTTTTGTAGTCTATTTGATTGTTGAATTTAATGAACACAAATTAAACTTATCATATTACATAAAAGTTTCTAGACACTTTGCTATTATCTGAATGTTTGGGCCCCCACCAAATTTATATATTTAATGCCTAATCACCGATGTAATGTTATTGGGATGTGGAGCTTTCAGGAGATAATTAGATTGTGAGGATGGAGCCCTCGGGAATGGGCCTGGTGCCCTTATAAATGAGACCCCAGAGAACTGCTTTACTTACCCCTTTCATCAGGTGACAACACAGCAAGAAGGCACCTTCTAAGAGTCAGGAAATGGACCCTCACTTCCTACCCTCCAGGATTGTGAGAGATTAATTTATAGTGGTTGTATTCAGTCGTATTCAGTATATGGTATTTTGTTATAGAAACTTGAATGGATTAGGACACAGTCTCGGTTTCAGCACTTACCTTATCATGGACCAGTAACAAACTAAGGTTACACCAGAACTTGGGCCAGACTCAAAGTGATCCTGATAAACTAATAGGAGAGTGGTTTGTGCATAGGATTTACATTAGAATCACTTGGAAGAAGACCTCTCACATTCTGATTAATTGATAAGTGGGAGGTAGAAAAGATAATAGATCTGGTATTATATTTTGTAAAAAACTTCCCAGGTCTTTCTAATATATAGCAAACATTGAGAAATACCTATTTAGAATAAAATGCCTCTCTTTCTGTCTCTCTCTCTCTATATATATACACACACACATATATACATGTATGTATATACATATATATGGAGCACATAGGATATATGTGTGTGTATATATATGCACACACACACATATATAAATATATTTTGGCTCAAAATGAATTTTTTTATATATAATGTTTTTTAAACATTGTTCATGTGATGATTAAGTTTTTTCAGAAATACTCAAACAGCAGGTAAATAATTCTTTGTTGTGCAGATATTTCCAGAAGAGTTTGGCATTTGAACCAGTAGACTAAATAAGGAAGATCTTTCTTCACCCAATGTGTCAAGCGAGGGCTCAGATAGAACAAAGAAGAGGCAAATTCACTCTCTGTGTTCTAGAAATGGGATGCACATTCTTTCCTGCACTTGGACTTCAGAACTCCAAGTTCTTTGGTCTTTGGGCCCTGGAACTTAAACAAGTAGCCCTGAAGCTCCTCAAGGCTTTGGCATCATTCTGAGAATTACACCACTGGCTGTTCTGATTCTGACTTTTGGATGTGGATTAAGCCACACTATCAATTTCCCTGATTTTGCATCTTTTAGGGAACATTTTGTGAATCTTTTCAGCCTCTATAATTGTGTGAGCCAATTCTAATACATTCCTTCATCTACCTATCATCTATCTATCTATTATCTATCTATCTATCTATCATCTATCATATTTGTTCTGTTACCCTGGAGGACCCTGATTAATATAGCCCATAATTTTAGTGAAATTCCTTCTCACTTGGAGTAGAACCTAATAGTAAAAACTCATCCTCATAACAACTGCACCAGAATGTACATTTTCATGTTGTTAGTTATAACAGTGGTGGATAAAGTCTGAGAAACACTGCTCAGGAGCACCATTTTCTGAGGAATCTTGAGAAGTTTTCAGACCATGCTACCATTTAATTGGGAGCATCTAGCATCCATGCTTTGAGGTAAACTTAGGAAATATTTGGGAGAGGCAGACAATGTGCTTATGCATTTCCCTCTACATTTGACATTTAGGATTGTAGTTTGGTCCAAGGGAGGGGATCCAGATAAATGCAGCTATGGTGACACGATTCTCTGACCCCTGATTTTCCTCTGTTCAGTACCTGTCCACAAGTACTTGGAATATCCAAGGGTGGAGCACTGAGAGCTTAACTCTTTCCTCCAAGCACAGCTGGCTCTATTTGTCTCAAGTTCTAATATCTGTTGAGAATGTTCTGTGGCTCAGGCCCAATATTGGGTATTGAGAAATATTGAGTTAGAAGATATAAGACTTAGCCCTTAATCTTGAAGACCACATACCCTATTAATGGACACAGACACATAGGCACCTACTGCATGTTACAATATGAAATACATCAGTTGAGAGAAATTATATTCTGTATTCTATGGGACATACTTTACCTTTGATAAGTGTGGATGATTTCTAAAGAAATCATCTATTGACTTGGAGGACAATTCAAAACATAATTATCTGTGCTTATATTGTGATCTAGAAAAGAAACATTACTTGAATGTGAAAAGCAGATGAGTTAGCATAGAGGTGAAGATAGAACATAGTAGCTTAGGGGAAGCACAAATTTTGAGAACCAACATGACTGGAAGCAAAGGTCTTGGTATTTTTGCAAGTGTGCATGTGTGTGTGTGCATGTATGTGTGTGTGCATGTGTGTGTATGTATACAGTATGTCTCAAGCACTTTGCTAAGTTCTTTTTATTGAGTGTCTCACTTAATATTTACTTCAATTTATTAGAATGATAAAATTGTAATTCTCATTTTGTAGTCAGGAAATTAAAACTTAAAAGGAAAAGAAATAATACATATTGGAAGAGTTGGATTTTAAAACCATAACTATTGTACAGTATTGTTGTATGAGTTTGCAAATTATTTAATTTTATATAGGAGCAATAAAAAGAAGAAAATAATTTCTGAAGATTAGAGAAAATGATTTAAAGTTTTAAAAATATTGTATATATCCTATAAATAATAGCCATTGCTCTTTATATCATCACTAATGCTTTGCTGTGATAGGATATGAGATGTATGTGGCACATACATAACAGCTCTTCCCAAAAACCAAACAGAAGTCTGGTGACTAATATGATTCTGGCATTGGGACAAAATGTATTTCCAAGTATTTTATTTTATTCTGGACATCTATATTTCCTTTTATTATCAAGTTAATCAATGACAACTGTTCACTGAGAATTCACTATATGCCCCAAACACGAAGTAAATGGCATTGTCTCTGCATTTAATGACATGAAATTTCCAGTCAGTGGAATACCATCAACATAGAAGAGCACTACTATTTGCAATCCACATTCCAAAATAAAGGGAGAAATTTTAGGATCATGGTTAGTTTGAATTATACAATTGCTTTAAACACAAAAATGCAATGCTTTGTAAATATTTCATGCTACAAGATTCAAGTCTTGTCCAACCACAACATTCCCATATCAAAGGGAATGGCAGTTGGAATTACTTGAACTCTTGTGAGAAGAATCAACACTTGTTATATCCTTAATATGCTTGACAGCTTTAAAACACTCTTTGAAATATATCCTTACTCTTCTATATACTTTTGATCTAAAAAAATTGCTTTCTCTCTCCCTCTGGCTTCTCCTTCCTTACTAACCAAAACACAAATTACTTGCAATTGGAAAGTAAAACATTAGAAAAATTAAAGGAGAATCTCTGTTTCTTTATCATGGGTTATCTGGCTTAGTCTTCACCCTATCTGACATATAACTCAGAGACAGACATAAAGAGTATATAAAAGAGAAAAAGCAACATTGGCCAAGTCCTCTGAAACAAGAGCAGTGGTTTGGTGTCCAGATCTGTTCTATAGTACTGACTTAGCCACCCCAATAGCCATATAGCCACAGATGTATCCCACTTGGAAGCATTCCTCTAAGGAGCTCTTCCAGTTCACCTGATGAGTTTATGGGACTCTGTGAAGATGGCAGAAGTTGGTTATAAATAATACTACAGACTCAAGTCTTCAGGAATAGCAACAGTTATATGGGTGGCCCTATCAGCATTTACATCCCTCTTCTTCATCTTTTTTCTGGATATATTTCATGTTTCATATCTCAGACCAATGGCCAAGTGTGGGTTGAAATGAATAGAAAACCAGGGAATGAATAGAAAACAAGGAAATTAAGAAATTCTACCTTTAATAGAAGTCGGTGTAGACATTGCCCAACAGATGATGTTTGTATAAGTTAAGGATTATGTTTTTAGTTCAGTTGGATTAATTTTCAAGTTATCAGCAGAAAAATAAATGTACAAGAAGCTCAGTTATTTGAGGCGCACCATAGTTGAGAGGCTGGCTTGTAATCTCAAATGGTTTATCTGGTCACATTTGTCAAGAATTGGTACATATAAAGTTGGAGTGTATTTCATATGTAAGTCTGGAGATATAAATGATATTGAAGAATTTTTTGGACAGTTTAATTTAATTAATAATCTGATTTTAGCTGTAGAGTAAAAATGTAAAGGTATATTTTAGTTTCTTTTTCTATAAAATTTACATAATAGAATGATCTGCCCTCTATTCTATGCCACTCTATGTGGTTTCTGTCCATATAATCATTTTAATAGGAGCCATTTACTGAGAATTTACTGAGCACCCGCTACTAGACTAGTCACATGGCATTAATTGTCTCATTTAACCATCAATATTTCATTTTCATCAACTAGATTATAAACTATTTATCAGTATATCTGTGTGTACATTTAGAGTTGCATTTATGTCCTTGCTCTACTCCCATCATAAATATCCCTGAATCAGCTTCATTGTTAATCAATAAACACAGCTTTATTTCTATTCTTACACCTCCTCAATGGGAATATAGAATTTAAAAAGCATTAGTAAGATTAATCTGGCTTTGCATTCAGA